AAAAAAAACACATCTTAGTAAAACCAATACCTTCTCAGCTTCGCATCGAAGTAAATAGGAAACTTCAGTACCTAAGGTAGATATAGCCTAGCCAGCTATCCCCCGTTGGTCCCTTAGAATACTGTCAACGGGCATTTAGACTAAACCCCTAAATAGCGACGTAACACATTGAATAAAATTCCCTCAGCAAAATATTAAAAAAATATATGCATCTTATGATAAGACCAACGCATTTTTTTCTATTCTTAACATCTGAAAATATACTGTAATTTTTACGGAGAAATTCTATACTCTACACAATTACAAAATAATATCCTTATTTATATCCTGATTAGTCGTTTTTAGATTTAACAGTATAATTTATAAATAATTTATTACAACAATTAAATAAAGTATGAAATTGATATTTAATAATTTAGTATTGTAATTTTTGCGGATAAATTATAAAAATTTATTTAGTAGATATTACTTTTACGGGCAAATATGTATAATAGTTGAAGGTCTAGATGAATACTTAAAAAAAATAATTTTTGTTATTTTTAAATAAATTTACTGGTTTACAAGAAATTTTTATTATTCACCAAAATATACTTTTCTAAACCCATTTTTGCGCCTATTGCAAATTTGCAATGAAAGTTTCGCATATTAACTAAATAATAACGAAATCCTTCTAATTAATATAACAAACATTTATGTTTGATTATTATGTTACGTATGAATACTCAATAGATATATTTTAATTAAAAAAATACGTAACAAGCAGTGTGTATTATTTTTTTTTATTTATTTCAATATTTATTTATTTTATAATATACAAGACACAACATAATCAAACAGAAAAAAAACACAAATAAATATTGAGTACGCCACAGACGGCAATGAGTATAGAATATAAATACAAAATATCTAAATAATTAAATAAGTACAGCATACATAGAAGTTTAAATTATTAACATACAAAATTAATAATTAAAATACATCGCTACAAATAGATTTTAACTTGGTTAAATGGTCATTAAAGAAATCAAAATTTTTAATTAAATTGCAAAAATGTAGCATTCTATTGACCGGTGAATAATAACTATAATTCTGACGATATGAGTTAACATAAAATAAATTATTAGATCGGAGATGAAAATTAGGAACATTAAAAGGAATTAGACTTAAAATTTCTGGACAATCTACATTATTATTAAGGAGATTATAAATCCAAAAAACATCATTGCATTTTCTCCTGTAAGCAAGGGAAGTTAAACCAAGAGAGATTCCTATTTCATCGATCGACACATTATAATCCCTAGACCTAAAAGAAATGAAGTGTAAAAAACGTCTTTGTATAGATTCTATTCTATTAATTTCACATATTTTATATGGACACCAAATAATAGATGCATATTCTAAAATTGATCTTACCAAAGAAATGTACAAGGTTTTGATACACAAAATATTATTGAATTCATTACAATTTCTTCTCAAAAAGCCAAGTGTTCGTGAGGCTTTATTGTAAATATTATCTATATGGTTAGAAAAAGATAAATCGCTGGATAATATAACTCCTAAATCTTTAATACTATAAACATTAAGCAAATTACAACCATCAATCGTATACTGATTAATATTTTCATTTTTAGAACGAGTAAATGTTATCTGATGACATTTATTTGTATTAATTACTAATCCATTTTTTTTACACCATAAACTGAATTTATCTAACTCTGATTGTATTTATAAATCTGATAGTAATTATGTGCAGTATATCGATATAAATAATTATTTAAACACCAAGAGTGGCTTTGAAATGCTTATTAAGACTTTATTTAAATGATTTATTACAATAAAAATACAATAAAACGTTTTTATCGAAATTTTGAGTTTTCCTTATAAATTTACTGTTAATAGTAATTATATAAGTTTCTGATCACATATCAATCTAAAAAATAGAATATTTATTTCCACTAAAATTTTCTATTTAATAATATAAATTATTAACTTGCAAGGTGAGCTAAAAACCCAAGCGTATAAGACTAAAATATAAGACGCAGCCACCGTATACTACGTGTACGCATAGATAAAAAGAACTATTAAAACTAAATCAAAATTCAAAGTTCCTTTTCTTAACTTTGAGGTGGAAAAATAATCAAAATAAGTTTAAATTTATATTTAATGTAATTTAAATTCATTTAACTTTTATTAAAATTGATGGACTCTTTACGATTGCTAATCCTTATAAGGTAATTTAGAATACACACAAAACAAATTTTAACATAAAAATAACATGTTTTTTTAAAGACGGTAGCCATTTGCATGTAGAAGATAAGTAGTCGGGACAACATTTTTTTTAATTTTTAGTATGTAACGTAAGCTTAATTTAACATATATTTAAAAAGCGTAGTATATCCGGAACATTTTCAAAAGTGAAGTTGTAAAAGTTGTTATTTTTAATCACCCCTTGTTGCAAATACCTAAGGTTTCAATATAAAAAAATATTATTTTAATTTATTAATTTTTCAAAAAGTTTTAAGAAAAAAAAATATCAAAATTTACAGATATTAAAATCGTACTTTTTGGGGTAATTTGCGCCACTTACGGAAATTTTTTCAATTTTCAAGGGCAACTAGATACGATTTGTGATATATTTTTGTTTTATCGAAAGAAATCAGTTCTGTGAAAGCTGAGAAAAGTGGCAAAAGATACAAAAAAAAAAAAAAAACATCATAGTAAAATTAATACCTTTTAGCATCGAATCGAAGCTAAAAAAGTACAGAATATTTGCTGAAACGAAGTTATTAAGTCAATAATTTCAAGTTAATAAATAAAATGTAACATATTTTTATCACAAATTCATTTATGTAAAATTTATGAAGTTTTAGTAACATTTATTATAACAAAAATAATTATTAAGTATGAGTATTTAAATCTGTTCTTTAAGTTCTTTTTTTTAAATTATTTTTTATTTTTAAATAGTAACTATTTAAACACTATCGAAAAGTATTATTCAATTAAAAATAATTATGAAATATTCATTCAGTTTTTTAATTATGTTTTATTTTCTTGTGTCATTTACATTAACTCTAAATCCTGACGAATCCAATGATAATGTCAGCTTATCAGATTCTGTTGTAATTTTAGTTTATTTTAAATATTAATCACTATTAAACATTTTAAAAAATAGGTTTTTAAATGAATTATAAAAATAAATAATTACAAAACTAGAATTTAGAGCGTAACATAAGTTGATACCTAGTAAAATTTACATAACATACATAAAATTTTGCAATAATATAAATTGAGTAATATTAATTTACTTTGATACAGCTATTTTTTTGCATATGGTTAAATTATTTTTTTAATTCTAAGCATTTCTTAATGTCAAACTTTTTTTTATAGTTAATTCGGTAGTTTTATTTTTAGCATTTTCATCAAAGCCTAGAGCCTTGAACTGATAGTTGTAAATAATAATTCATACTTAATTTCATTGTTTTTATTATTTTTATTTCAAATAAGAGATAAAATAAAAAAAATCCTAGCACAGTTGAGTTACGTCAAAGCGTGACGTGGCATAGTTGAGACGAGTTTAGATGATATCTGACAGCGATTTAATTCACTATCATAAGAAATGCTTCGATGAAAATCTGTAGATAGTGTTTAATTTTAAGAAATTGGTGGATTATTCCAAGAGCAATATTAACTCTATGTCCTTTATTATTCTTAATTAGCAGTTCTATGATTTATAAGTATAATATATGAATATATTATAGCAATTCAAAGTAGTATGAAATTTTATTTAATTTAGTATTGTAATTTTTACGGAGAAATTCTATACTCTACGCAATTAAAAAATAATTCTTAGGGGTTCTTAACAGCATCGAAGCTAAAATTTATGTTGTTTTAATGTTCATTCAATAATTGCAGCTTAATGATGAAACTGACGAAGAAATAATTCTTTTTAAAGAAAAATTCAATCTTAAGAAGAATACTAATGGCTATGTTACCTCAGAAGAACTTGCAATCATTAACGCATCTGATCAAATACATACTGACAAATCCAATAATAATGTCAGCTTATCAGATTCTGTTGTAATTTTAGTTTATTTTAAATATTAATCACGATTAAACAATATGTTAATCTACGGCTTCATTAAAAATTTAGTAATTCACTATACATGATTATTTCACTCTTACTGGACCAATTTTTGTTTAACGATACTTCAAAAGATCACACAACATATCTAGTTGAATCTTTCAGTAGCATAATTTAGAGAAGTTTATCTGAATTTTTGTTATAAATGAAAATGTTTTGATATTATTTACAATTTCCTTTAAACAGTCATTGTTGATATTTTTAGTTTTCACTTTATATTAATTGGATATTTAAGGTGATTCAAATGTTAAAATTACTTGTTTCGATTTAATAGAAAAAAAAATTAAAAGAATTTTAACTTTATATTCTATGTCAATTAGATTTATATAATGTTCATGAAAATCATTACACTCTCCTTAAAGGTATATTAAAATAAATTAAAATATAATGCCAAGGGTTTATAGAATAATAGCATATTTTTTAATATGAAAACCATCGTAATAATACATAAATTAGTTATTATAGAGTATATAGAGTTATTAATAAGAAACGCTTCAATGCAAATCTGTAGGTAGTGTTCAATTTAAAAAAAATTGATGGATTCAAAATATAAAATTAACTCTTATTTGATTATTTATATCGTTATTAGAAGTTATTATATTTAAAAGTATAATTTATTAATAAATATTTATTATAGCAATTAAATAGAGTATGAAATTGATATTTAATAATTTAGTATCGTGATTTTACGGATAAATTTTAAAAAATTTGCCAGTTTTTAGTAAAAAAAATTGGAAAAATGTCAAAAATTAGCGATTTTTAATTTTGTATTTTTTTTTGGAGATTTCCCCCATTTACGGAGAATGAGGGAATTTTTGATGGTAATATATTCTATTAGATACGATTTGTGACGTTTTAACATATTGTTCATCAAAATCAGTCCAGTGAGAGCTAATAAAAAGTGATAACAGACACAAAAAACATATCTTAAGAAAAATTAATAACTACTCCGTTTTGCATCGAAGATAAAAATTAGAAATTAGAGCCTATATAATTTTTATAAATGGATGAACAATTTTTTTTTTTTAACTGAAATAATTTATTTTCCTTCATTTTGATATTTAAAATTTCCTTAAAACAGTCAATGTTGATACTTTTAGTTTTAACTCTATATTGAAATACTTTTTTATAAATTGAACAGATTATTACTAATATTTCATTGACTATACTTCAAACTTTTGCATGACCAATATCTTTTTTTTTTTTTTTAATATTTTTATCATTAACCAAAGTACTGTGATGGTTTAAAATGGTATCAAATTTTTTTTTCATTTTCTTTTTAAACTCTGAGCATTTCTTTATAGTGAAAATTTTTTTAGTTAATTCAGTAGTGTTAATTTTAGCATTTCCGACAAAGTTGGAGCCATGAATTAATGGTCATAAAAAATAATTCATACTTAATTTTATTGTTTTTATTATTTTTATTTCAAATAAGAGTTAAAGATAAAAATTTATATTATTTTAAAGTTGTGTTCATTCAATAATTGCAGCTTAATGAAGAAACTGTCAATGAACTAAAGTGCCAATTTAATCTTAAGAAAGATACTAATGACCATGTTACCTTAGAAGAACTTATAGAAATCATTAATTCATTTGATCAATTAGAGATTGATGCAGAGGATGTGGATTNTATATATATATATATATTATTAATAAATACAAAGGTGTATTTTGATATTACATATGACAATTGTAGAATTAATTATTTATTTAATTATAATAATATGACGTATGAGCATGATATAATCATAATTACAAGCAATTCTCTAAATATGTTTTAATATTTGATTTATACCTTATACACGTTATCTGAATAACTTATAGTATGCTATTAGACATTTTTTTTTCTTAACACCCGCCGAATTTGTTACGAATCTCTCTGGAACTGTTATCAAGCATTACTTTATGGTAGCCTATGACGTCTATAAACAAATAAAGAAAATAGGTAACAACTAAAATTCAGTTAAAGAATAATTGCGTTCTGAACCATATAATGAACTACTGACAAAGGCAATAGTATGATGTTGTTAGTCATTACCTATTTTAAATAATTCAGCACCAAGCCTGATAAGGAAGGCATCAGTTGCAATAAAGGATTGTGTTATAGTTTAAAATTACAAAGTAAAAATATAAAAAATGATCGTAAGAATTAATGGGTATTTTGACCAAGGTTGTTTATTTTTGGGGTTTGATAAATTCGTGAGCAACGAGGTTCTATCGACGTTGTAGAGTCTGTGGGTTTAGAACAATTAAGACAAGTAGATATAAAAAGAAATGATTAAAGTTCCTCTATAGAGGTATTACAAATTACCCAACTGGTAAGTACTTGAAATAATCCCCGGTGTATTATAACAAAGAGGCACATTACATGGTATTCTCACGAATACCTTATAATGTGTTTATGTATAAGGTACGAACTAGTCAGTAATAATTAATTAAAGTTAGAAAATGAATATAAATAATCTATTGCTTTATCATTCTTCACTCAGATTATTAATTCTAAATAATTGGTTTAATATAAATTTACTTAATATTTTTATATAGCTTCCGTAAAAATGTATAATACTTCTTTTAAATAAATAAATAAAGTCTTGACGAAAAAATGATTTTATTCAATATTGTTTTAAAATGTACCGATGACAACACGGGATCGTGGCTAGTTTGATAAAAAGGAATTAGACAAAAGAATCCTGAACTCTATATTGAATTCAGAGTTTCAAAAAAAGTGCCGGCTCGCTCTCTGGCACGCTCGCTCACAGACGTGCAAGCAGAACTAAGGCTTATTATATTATTTTTAATTACCCCCATCATGGTATGTTGTTGTCTGTGCTTTTAGTGATTTTCAGTTTATTGTATTAAATTGAACATAACATAATAATTAGAGTCAGAGTTATTTAATTACCGAAAACTTTTTTGATTAAGGCATTTTAGCTAAAAGGAACTACCAATTGACCTTTTTATTGTTTTATTTGTCTTTATAATAATGTATTTATAATACAGTAATACGGCACATTCCCTATATATTTATATATATGCTCTTTTTAAAATAAAAATATTAAATTTAATTAGTATATTATATATGGACCATTTTGATTTTTAATTACGTTGCGAAGCTGAGAAGGTATTAATTTTACTATAATGTATTTTTTTTTTGTGTCTTTTACCATTTTTTCTCAGCTGCCACCGAACCGATTTCTTTGAATGATTTGTCGAACAATCACAAATCGTATTTAGATACGATTAATCGAATACATTACCATTTTTTTTTTTTTTATTAGCTTTCAATACAAAATATTATTATAGCTTAACAATTTAGAAATTTAACAAGAGAAAATAAAAAATAAAAAAATAGTACAATTGATTTTACATTAACGAAATTACAATAAAGTTACAGTAAAAATAGTTAAATTAATAAACCAGCTGAATAAATGAAAGAAATAACTAAAGAAATTACATTGAGAGAAGTTAAGTTAAAAATAGTGCAACAATTAATAAGAGAGATATAATGATGAGATAAATAATTAAATAAAATCGAACGATTACTTTCAAAAGCACAGCAGTCAAAAATTATACGAGGAAAATCGCAGAGAACTTCATTGTCATGTTTGGGACAGAAAGGAGAATTGTTAAGGGACATTCCACTTCTAAATTTATATTTGGGGTAGAGTAAACTGCGCCTAAGATAGTATGTAAACAAGAAGTCATTAAAGAATTAAGCTTTTTACGGTGCACGTTGGAGGCAGAAGAATATAATAATAAATATAATATATATAATAAAATGGAGATGACGACAATTGAATAAAGAAAATATAAATTTATACAGCACAATAGGAATATTGAGGGAAAGAATACACGAAAAAAGTAAAGGAATATGAACAGAATCGAAAGCACTACGATATCTATAAAGGCAGTTGCAGTAAAAAGGCGGTTACAAAACGAATGATAAACAGACCCAACAAAGGAAGATAAACATTATATAGTACCTACACCATGTTGAAAGCCAAACATGTTATTAGGTAATAGAGAATTGGCTTCAAGAAACCAATCGAGGCTAGTTTTTAAAATAAACTGAGTTATTTTGCATAAAGATGAAGAAAGAGCAATAGGATGGTATGCATGGCTTGAAGCACCACTTTTAGGAATAGGAATGACTTTGAAGGTTTTCCAGGAATCAGGTATGATATTATTAAGCCATAAATCATTTAAAATAGATAAGAGTATATCAAATGCTTTAATTAGAAGGTGTTTGAACATTATAGGAGAAATACTATCTAAGTCAGCTGCAATGGATTTTCTAGAGGAGATAGCTAGGGAGAGTTCATAACGGCTGAAAGGGGATGAAAGGAAGTTGGTATTATTATGCGGCATATGAGTTGCGAACTGTAAATTAGATTCATCAAGATTAGGAATGTATGGTGGTGCCACTTTATCGCAAAATTTGTCAAACCAATCATTATTGTAGCTGATGAGGGGCGAATCATACATTTTTTAATTTTTGTAACTAAGGCCCATTATTCAGAGATAGACGAGGAAGGATGTAACTTAGAGCACATTTTAACCCATGAGTCTTTCTTAGCTTTTTTCAAAATGTTGGTGGTATTTAATTTAGATTTTTGATACAACATAAAATCATGAAGAGAACCTGCCGCTCTATATTTTTGGAAATAAAAGTATCTGGTTTTAACTGCAATTGTGCAGGAAGAATTCCACCAAGGGGAATGAGAATTAAAACGTTTATTAGACAAACGTTTAGTTGGTATGGAGAGTTTGGCAGCTCTCAGTAATATATCAACAAAGTTGTTGTAATTATCAATAGGAGAAGAGAATAGAGACCACGAATCAAGAAAGGTACTGATAAGAAGAGAAAAAGTAGTCCAGTCAGCTGAGTTTAAATTAATTGAAAAACTATTAGGATTGTCAGGAAGCGAATTATTGTCAATATGACCTGAGGAATGAGTTAATTGTCTGGAAAGACCAATTATAATAGGATAGTGTTCACTACCATGAGGATCACAAAAAACAGACCAGGAAGAGGATAATAAAATATTTGAAGAGCAGATAAATAGGTCAACAAAGGTATCGGAAAAAGGGGAACGATTAACTCTGGTAGATACACCTGTATTAAGTATACAGTAGTTATGTTGGGTAATAGTTGAATGGATAATATTACCTCTAAAATTAGAATTTAATGACCCCTATGCAGGATGATGGCCATTAAGACTACATGCAATTAAAGAGTTATTAGAGAGCAATTTAAAAATTTCAGATAAAATAAAGGTAGAGGGATTAGCTGAAGGAGGGATATAAATTGACCATAATTGGAGAGAATTATTATTAGGTACCAGTACATCAATACCCACTAGATCAATAGAGGAAGAGATAAGCATTTGTTTAAAGTTAACTTTTTGAAAAATAGATGAATAGAAACATTTTTTTTTAAATAAATACATTAGACTTCAGTACCTAATATTTTGTAAATTTCATCAGATATGATGCAATATTCGTAAATATCTCAATTTCAGCAGTTTCACAAAATAATACTTATTTTTCAATTTTTCTAAAAAACTAATGGGTTTAGAAGAAAAATTATAGAAATTTAAGTTATACAAAACATTTATATCTACAATTTATTTCCTATAGACTTTTTTGTGAGAGTACTAATTAACGAGTCAATGATAAATAATTAAAAAACTACCTTTTAGCTAATTTTCAACCCCAAGTCGGCACGGGTTAAACTTGTTTGATCGACCTGAAATTTTTTTGTGTTCTTTTTTATATGTATACTAGGGTGGTCCTTATTTTTTTTTTTCGAAATTTGATCGGGCCACTCCCCAAATTTCTTCAAAACTATAAAAAAAATGGTTCATACTTAATTTCGTTAATTTTGGTCAACCCTAAGCCGTGCCTCAAGAGGGTCGAAAACTCGGTAATAAGGGTAGTTTTTCAGTTATTGTGATTTATCTCAAAAACTATGACATTTACGTAAACGTTTATAAGAATAAAATTGTAGATACAAATATTTTAAATAATAAAGTTCATTACTAAAAAAGTCGTAAGTCAAGTATTTACCCCGTAAAAGTTATAAGTTCAAAAATTTTTTAAAAAAGGTGATTTTCAGTTTTTTGCGATTAAATCCTAAAGTATTAACTATAAAAAAAAATAACTTATTATGAAATGTTTTTAAAATTAAATTTACAATAATATTTGTTATAAGTATTTTTCTCATAAAACGACTCATTCTATCACAAAATAACAAAAACTCGGTTTTATACTATAATACATTTTATATTGACTAAATAATAGATTATTTTCGCTTAAATATGTTAACGAGGTAATCCTCTCATCAATATTCTCATTGTGTAATGTTTAAAAAATAAGTTGGTTTTTATTTTTAATCTTATTGTATAGGTATCAAAACGTCTTTTATTTTATCAAGCTTTTTAGGTAACATTATTGATTTAGAATCTTAAATGTTTCACTATCTATTTTTAAAAATTATCAAAATCATACAAAATTAATACTTTTTGTGACACCTATTGTTAGATAACACCTGTTGATAATTCTTCGATAATAGGTTTGATTGTAACCAATAAGTAAAATAATACTATTACAATGGTTTAAAACTCGTTTATACTTAGTACTCGCAAATATCTATTGCAGCATTTGAACGGGCTCGGTACAAAGTTTTTGTTTATATATTGTTCGTTTTAACGCTGATGTATAATTTTAGTGAAGTTTAATTTTAGCTGAAGTGTAATTTTTCTTATTTTTTAGCTTTTTCTTTTATTATTTAATATTAAAAGTTGTGTAGTAGTATGTCACACAAAGTAAATTTGCGTAAACAGATTTATTTATTAGGTCATATTGCCCATCAAATTTTTGGCTGTAAATTACCTTCTAATATACAAGTTCTTAAAGTATTGTTTTATAATATATGTGAAGTCAAATTAAGCATTCGTGATAGTGTACGATTAGTAATAGATGACGTTTTAATATTTTGGCAAAAAGCTCGCATTCCAACTCGTGAACTACGCCACTGTATATTAAAATTGGAAGCAATTTACGACAAATGGCGAAGTTTGCCAAAAATGCATCACGACAAACTGATACTCAAAAAAAAAAAGAAAATTGTTTTATCGATAAATTTGACGACCTTTTTGATATAGCACATGCTGACGCTATGAATCTGATGAGTATTGAGTTGGATAAACAATTTTTAATTCGTCAACGTGAAAAAGGTCGCCCGGGATCGTTGAGTGGAATCGATTATGATTCATATCAAGCTGACCAAAAAAAGTATTTACGTTTTGAAAAAACAGAAAAAAGAAAAAACCTACTTATGATAAAATAAAAGCATCGTGTAAGTGTTTAATTAACTTATAAATGTTCTATTATATTATATTATTTATGAATAATAATTGCAGATGATACAGTTGAGTTTTATTCAGGATCGTCAGAAAGTGACACTGACGATAATAGTCAAATCATGTCGACCAATGATGATTTAATTTTTGAGAAAACATTATGTGAACCTGGTCCATCTACTAGTAAACGAATTTCAAAACAGTTTCTCACTAACAAACTTGTAGCTGCATTGGATAGATGTAAGATCAGTGACAGAGATGCCACTCATTTACTTATGGCAGCGGCTGAAGCATTTGGTCAAAACGTTGATAGTTTGGTAATAAATCGTTTGTCAATATATAGAGAACGTGAAAAGTTATGTAAAGAACGAGCTTTAAATTTACGTGAAAATTTTCAAATTAGCTTATTTAGTAATGCAGTCGTACACTGGGATGGAAAATTGCTTCCTTCGTTAACTTCAAAAGATCTTGTTGACCGATTACCAATAATTATTTCTAGTGGTGTACCAAAATTATCAGAAGGAACTGGAGAAGAACTGGCTATAAAAGTATATGAATCAATTGAAGAATGCGGTCTAAAAAACTCAGTTGTAGCTGTTTGCTGAGATACTGCGTCTTCAAACACCGGTAGATTAAAACGTACATGTATATTACTAGAACAATGTCTTGAAAAAGATTTTTGTTGTATTTACTTTGTCGACATCATATTTATGAAATTGTTTTAAAAAGTATTTTCGAAGAAATATTTGTTTCAACCTCAGGGCCTAATGTTCAACTTTTTAAAAAATTCCAAGAAGGCTGGAGTAACATAAATTCAAATAAATTCAATCCAGGTATAGAAGAAATATGTTAGTGAAAAATTATGCGATGCCAAACAACGTGTACTTGAATTTTCAATAATTATTTCAAAAGAAAAACAGTTTAGAGAAGATTATAGAGAGCTATTAGAACTGTCTATAATTTTCCTAGGAGGAATCCCACATCGCAGTATATCGTTTCGAGTTCCGGGATCATACCATCACGCCCGATGGATGTCCAAAGCGATATATTGCCTAAAAATATATATTTTTAGAAAACAATTTCATATGACCGCAGCACAATAAAAAGAGCATGTCGAGATATTTGTATATTTATAATAAGTGTTTATATTGAAAGATGGTTTCGCTCACATGTTGCAATTGAAGTACCTTATCAAGATCTTTCATTTGTTCATTGTCTGATTGAATATGAAAAAATAGATAAAAATATAACAAAAATTGCATTCAAAAAATTTTGTGGTTACTTGTGGTACCTAACTCCTGAAGTAGCAGGATTATCGTTTTTTGATTCAAATATTCCTTTACCAATGAAATTAAAAATGGTAGAGTCACTAAAAAATCACAATGACAATGCAAATGTAATTAAGCGTTATGTTGCTCCAATAAATAATTATGCGTCTCTAAATAATAAACAAATTTATGAATTTATAAATAGTTCATCGATAAAGTTATTTGAAAGATTTAACATTCCCACCAATTTTTTGAACCAAAATCCGGTAGATTGGAATGAAAATGTTAATTACCAAAAAGGTAAATCATTATTTAATCAGTTAAAAGTCATCAACGATGCAGCTGAACGTGGAGTTCAATTAATAAGTAATTTCAATGAAATAATTACTAAAGATGAAGAACAAAAACAATTTTTAATACAATTGGTTTATGACTATCGTAAGAAATTTTAATATTATTTTATATTATATTATATTAATAATATTTTAAGATTTTTAATATTATTTATTTTATAGCGAAATTTTAACCTTGCATTTATTAAAATTACAATATTTTTTATAACACATAAAAAAAAAAAATAAATACTTTCTTAGCTTCACATTCAAGTTAATATGTACTGGAAGTGTGTTATTTTTATTTTTCTTATAAATAAGCGAAATAATCTATTATTTAGTCAATATAAAATTTATTATAGTATAAAACCCNTTATTTAGTCAATATAAAATGTATTATAGTATAAAACCGAGTTTTTGTTATTTTGTGATAGAATGAGTCGTTTTATGAGAAAAATACTTATAACAAATATTATTGTAAATTTAATTTTAAAAACATTTCATAATAAGTTATTTTTTTTTATAGTTAATACTTTAGGATTTAATCGCAAAAAACTGAAAATCACCTTTTTTAAAAAATTTTTGAACTTATAACTTTTACGGGGTAAATACTTGACTTACGACTTTTTTAGTAATGAACTTTATTATTTAAAATATTTGTATCTACAATTTTATTCTTATAAACGTTTACGTAAATGTCATAGTTTTTGAGATAAATCACAATAACTGAAAAACTACCCTTATTACCGAGTTTTCGACCCTCTTGAGGCACGGCTTAGGGTTGACCAAAATTAGCGAAATTAAGTATGAACCATTTTTTTTATAGTTTTGAAGAAATTTGGGGAGTGGCCCGATCAAATTTCGAAAAAAAAAATTCTACACCTATAAGTTAAGGACCACCCTAATGTATACAAATAAATTTGAGTCGTATGCACTAAGCATTTCCGAAACTTCAAAATTCTGGGTCAGCTTAATATATATATATATATATTACACATGACGACCGAGACTGTCTTAATAGACTTATGTCTGTCAATAATATTTATATATTATTAGATTCTCGTTAAGTTGATATGTACTAAGTTTAAATAAAATATAAAAGCATATTCAACGAATAGTTTGTAAACCTTTCTTTATTATTATACATATAAATAATGAATAATTATTTTTAACAAATCCTTATGTAAAATTTAACACACCATCGTATTTATCGTTAGAAAATGTATAAGATTGTATTATATCATTACTTAATTATTTAAAAATAATAAATACTGAAAATATAAAGAAAAAAACAGTATTTGTTTAACATATTCTTATATTTATTGAATTAGCAGCATTATTTAAGCTTTATATTTATTTGAAATATACAACGTTAATATTTTAAAAGTATTTAAAAAATCTTTATTAAATTATCTATTTCTTGGTTAAAATTTCATTATTGTAAGTTAAACCAAAAGAGTTATACTTGAGAGTTCATCTTTAAAAAAAAAAAAATGACATTTGACCTTATCTTTGAAATTTTAAAGCATTGGTTTGTACTTAGCAAGCTTTGAAAAAATCTTAACAAACATTTAAAAATAATTTAAAAAAATTTAAATAAATAACAATATATATATATATATATATAGTTATGGCGATTTTACTGTGTAATTATCAGTTAATAATTAATTATTCTATTAAAATATAAATTTAATTTAAATTTCAAAATCTAGATATGATAGCTAAAAAAATCTTAAACCTAATTCGGAATCAGTGTTAAAAATCCTTACAGAATTCTTATAAAATATATAAATTTAAAAAAAATAAACTTTTGTCTTGTGTCATTTATTAGTATGAACAAAAAGAAAATTTTTTATATAACTACATAATAAATAGCAATTATTTATTTAAGTGGAATCTATTAAGTACTTAATGTATTCAATTTTAGAGAAAAAAAATTATAATTTTGAAACATGTTTAAAAATTTTTTCTAATGAAATATTAATAACGGAAAAATGCGAAGAAATTATTGAAATATTTACTCAATTTTCTGAAGATGGCTACATTGATGCTAATATAGTACAAGATTTGATTGAATCATACACAAGCGTAAAATCAAATAGTTATTTAGAAAAAATAATTAAAAGAGCTTATCAGAACAATAATGGTAAACTCAATTTTAGCGGTATGTTCATTATTCATGTTTATACTTTTAATGGATTTTTTATTTAAGATTATATTATGCTGTTCATTTTTTAATTTATTTGATTTTTCCAATGTTTCAGACTTTGAGACATTGATGCACTCATTGTAAATTCAAAATAAAATTTGCTTAGTGAATATTTTATTAAGAATTGGATGAAATGTTGAAATATAATATTATTTATTTGTTAACCTTTTAAAATAAATAAATAAAAAATTATTAATAAACGATGATATTTGTCACTCATTTTATCATATTAAAGTATAGATCTAAAAAAACCCCATTTATGATTCTGGAAGGGGGTATAAAATTTGTGAAGAAGATTATATATTTGGTGCGTTTGACCATTAATAAATCGGAGTATTTTTAAGTTTATTTGGAAATTGTATGTCAGTTTATTTGTTTTACTGTAGATATATAAATTTGTTGTCAATATATTCATTCTTGAAACTTTTATTTTACTAGAATTTTAATTAAATTTAATTGATTATCATTGTTGAGTGAATTATTTCTGAAAATTAACAAAATATGTATACTTGTTTCTTTATATACCCGTACTAAAGTTAATTGCAATTACTTCATATAAAATACTACAAAAATTATTTATCTAAAAAATATGTTTTAAAATGAAAAATAATAAAAGTTTTATATCAATTATCTTATAAGTTATTGAATTCACTAAATTGTAATGCATAGTGATAGAGTCATCTTTGGAGGGAATTTCATTTTTACGCAAAATTTGATACAAATCCTTTTTTTTTTTTTAATTTCTTTATTTTTAAATTTATAATCTGTAAATAGTTTAGAAGATATACATTTATACAATACATAACATGAATAGCCTATGAAATCACTCCCATTGGAGTCACCTGCTATTGAAAATGAATGTTTACTTTAATTGCATAATATTAATAACAATAATAATAATAATATATAATCACTTTTATATATAATAAAAAATCACTTATGGCCTCTATTTCAAAGACCAAAATTACCCCCCCAGAAGTATCGGATCCTCAGGGGGCGGCAGGAGTGAGTGTAAAAGGTTCCAAAAACCGGACCCAGCGTAGCGGGCTCATTCTGGTCGACACCAAGCGACCGCGAAGTCCCACGCGTGGCTGGATAGGCGCCTTTTATTGCTACTGATGCAGTGCGGAGGAAGCTACGAGGAGATGAAATGGATTGGCTAACGCGATCATTAACGGAGGACGACGTGGTCGACTTTGAGAAGATGATCGACGACTGGAAGGTTTATCCCTCTTGGGAAAAGATTAAACCGAGGTCCGAGCGCCTATCATACTTGCTCATGGATAGCAGGAAGGACGGCGAAAACATTTCCCCTGTAGGTCTCTTCATTAGTAGAAGCCGATCTTAGGATGTCTGGGGTTTTGTGTCACCCTGGCAAAACAACAAGCTGGAATAGTTGATGAAAACGTAGCTAGCGATGAGGAGGCTATCACGAGAGACGTCCTGCTCCTCCTGCCACTCCTCCACATCTAGGAGAAGGACGGTGTACCCGCACGTCCATCTCCTGCAGGGCCGCCAGAAGGTCCGCTTGTTCAGCTGACCCCCGGACCTCCAATATGACGGCCCCCGTCTGTGTTCTCCGGGTCCCGGACACTTGGATGCCCAGGGCCTGGAGGTCAATCGCAGCCATGGCTATGCCCATTATAGTGGCATACTTCTTACCTTCCCTTAGAGGGCCGATCAACACGGCCTCTGTGCGAAGCACTTTTGACCGTAACTTTGCTGCTGTTTGGTTTCTGATCGTAGGTGGAAGTTTGGGCCCGGCCGCCGTATCCTCCTTCCTTACTCCTGCTTTCCGTCCTACGACTTGGGTCCACAGCGGTTCAGCGAGAGCAGCTCCCGCATCCCCTTCTACAGACCCTTCATAGTTTGCCCGGTTCGCCACCCTCTCGTCAGTCTGCGTCTGGGTAGGCGCGGTGACTGGATCGGAGACAGGACCTGGGACAGAAGGCCGCTTTTTCTTCCTCATCCTTTTCTTCTTCTCCGTCTCATTTGCTCCCTTCGGCATGACGGCCGGTGGGTCCTCGACGACGGTTTGCGTCCCGGCTTCTTTCGCCGAATTCTGAAGCACTACTTCCGGTGCCCGTCGTTTGTCTACTGCTTCCGCTGAGGCTTCCGGGGGGTTCCTGGATGGCGGTGTAGGGATTAACAAAGATGTTAAATAACATGTCACAATGAATGCGTTTATATATGTTTATATGTTTTATCTTAGATGTACTGCAGTACGATAACACTCCGTGTATTTTTTTTATTCTCGCGCTGTTCGTCAATCCAGTGACACTTTTTATTTGTACTCTTTTTTTATGTACGTATAAAATTATTTTTCATTATTAAAAAGTATTAATTATTATAAATTTTAATTGTAGTATTTTGTAATAAATAAAAACACCAAAACACAACAAATTGGTGACCTCTAAAATGAACAGCAAATCCGATAGTGCGATAGTAAGTGTGCGTGACGACGCGACCGGTAATGATGACCGAGACCATNACGCGACCGGTAATGATGGCCGAGACCATATCGAATACGGCGAGCCCAATATGAATTCAACGCGAGCGTTTAAAATCCCAACTTTCTGGCGTACCAACCCAGAACTTTGGTTCAAACAAATTGAATCCGTTTTTTATACAACCAGAATTACAGCTGACGCAAGTAAATTTCATCATGTTGTTTCTTCTATGGAAAGTGAAATTCTTGCTCAAGTTAGTGACATAATACTCAATCCACCAGAAACGAAAATGTACGAAGCATTAAAAACCCGGCTCATCGAAAGATTTTCCGAATCTGAACAATGTCGGCTTAAAAAATTACTGACCGAAGTCGAACTCGGTGATCGGAAACCATCTCATTTTCTTTCAGAAATGCGTCAACTAGCTAATGGAAAAGTAACTGATGAAATACTTAAAATACTATGGATACAAAGGTTACCACATCAGGTAAAAACTATCATTTCAGCTAGCAACGACAAGTTGGATAACTTAGCTTCGATGGCAGATAAAATTATCGAAGTATCGGACAGCCGAAATGATTGTTTTTCCATTGCCAACATTAGTGACAAGGTCACAAACCGTCAGTCACATGAACAAGCTGACGATGCAACGACAATAAGAAAATTGGAACACCAGATCGCAGCACTCGCACAAGCAGTAGAGCGACTTAGCAACAGCAACTCTCGTAGCTACAATAGGCGTCACTCAAAATCACCTATGCGCCGAGACAATTCACGACCACGATATGATACATGTTATTATCATTACCGATTCAAAGATAAGGCTACTAAATGCAAACCACCGTGTAAATACCAGCACACGTCGGAAAACTATAAACGATCTACTGTCGAGACGACCGACGGTAGTGAGTTTCAATCTCGTCGTCTATTTATTGTTGATAAAATAACAAAAACTCAATACTTAATTGATACTGGTGCGGACTTTTCGGTTTGGCCAGCAGATCCTAAGCAGAAACGCAATAAAATAAAAGATGGTAACCCTACTTTATTCGCAGCCAACGGGTCAATAATAAAAACATACGGTGACAAATTAATTGCTGTAAATTTAGGTTTAAGACGTGTTTTTAAATGGAAATTTATTGTCGCAGCAGTCAGTAAACCAATTATAGGTGCTGACTTTCTCCACTACTTCGGCTTATTAGTGGACTTAAGAAGTAAACGCCTAATTGATGAAAATACCAATTTAGCCACCGCCGGAAAAGTTAAAAAGACGATATCCTCGGGCATCTTCGCTTTTAAAGACGATTCAGCGTACATTAAGTTACTCAAAAAATTTCCGCAAGTATTAAGAACAAACATGATCCCAATGGATTGTAAACATAACGTTACACATCATATCATCACTAAAGGACCACCACTCTTCGCTAAACCAAGACGCCTTCCTCCGGATCGACTAGAGATCGCAAAAAAAGAATTTGCATATTTAGTGGAACAGGGCATATGCCGACCTTCAAATAGTCCGTGGGCCAGCCCATTACAACTAGTAAAAAAGAAGAACGGTGAATGGAGACCGTGCGGCGACTACCGTAGGTTAAACGCAGTCACATTACCGGACAGATACCCCATTCCACACATTCAAGACATCACACAGCGATTGCAAAATAAAAGTATTTTTTCAAAAATCGATTTGGTTAAAGCTTTTAACCATATACCAATAGAACCGTCCGATATTCCAAAAACAGCTATTACAACACCTTTTGGGTTATTTGAGTTTGTTCGGATGGGATACGGTTTTAAAAATGCAGCTCAAACATTTCAGCGTTTCATACACGGTGTTTTAAAAGACTTAGATTTTTGTGAAGTGTATTTGGACGATATTTTAATTGCATCGTCTTCAACACAAGAGCATTTGAGTCACCTCGAACGTGTATTACAACGACTCAATGAGTACGGCATTGTGATAAATACGAATAAATGTATATTTGGAAAAGAAGAGGTACTATTTTTAGGATACATCATATCGGGTAACGGTCTTAGACCAAATCCTGAAAAACTGGAAGCGATAGACAAATATCCACGGCCGAATAATGTACAAGAGCTTCGACGTTTTTTGGCTATGTGCAATTTTTACCGCCGTTGTATCCCAAACGCAGCAAGTACACAAGCTATTCTTCACGATTATCTTAAAAACAGCAAAAAAAACGACAAAACACCAATTGTATGGACCGATCAATCAACGGGAGCGTTCGAGAAAACTAAAGAAGACTTAAAGCGAGCCACAACATTATCGTATCTAGATCCGGCCGCGAATATTCAATTACGATGTGACGCGTCAGATATGGCGATAGGCGCAGTAATAGAACAATTTAAAAACGGCGTTTGGCAACCACTTGCTTTTTTNAGATGTACTCCCCTCAGTTCTTATGGGCCTTAGATCAGTGATTAAAGAAGATCTAGGTTTAACACCTGCAGAAATTGTATTTGGAAGTACGATTAGATTACCTAATGAGTTTTTTATGCAGTCATCAGTGGCGACAGACCCTTGTTCCTTTGCTGAAACACTAAAGAAAACAATGGAAACCATACGCCCAGTGTCAACTTCAAACCACGGAAGTAAAAAAGTTTTTATATATAAAGATCTAGCATCCTGTTCACACGTTTTCGTTCGGGTCGACCGGGTCAAGAAACCGCTAGAACAACCATATGAAGGGCCGTACAAAATTGTTCAACGATACGAAAAAACCTTTAAATTA